CTGTAACTCTTGATGCAACCACCAGAGGGAAGAGTTTAATTATTAATGCTTTGTATGTCTCCTTTAAATGCATTGAGTTTAGATGATTGTTATTTATTTGATTGTTATTTATTTGATTGTTATTTATTTGAGCATTTTTGCAAACTTTTGAGCTACTTTACAACAGTGTAATCTTGTAATAATGACATTTTTTTTTGCAAAATGCTCAAATAAATAACAATCAATCAATCAATCAATGATTATCCCAGGTTGAGCAGGGTTCTCAATAGAGGTGTGATACTTTCTCCCGCGATTTGATTATTGATATGCATTTGCCAAGTATCGATATATATTTTTTATTTGTTTTATTTTTTATTTTTTATTTTCAATTTGTTTTTGTTTTTTTTTTAATTAGTATGAATACTTTATATATGGCTACATTACGCATCTCCATTCCATTTATCATGAAGTAAACTGTATTTTTTCACTTAAAAATACAGATGCAGTGCTACAGATTAAAATACAATACCACAAACAAACAAAACGAAGAAAAAGCATCAATGGAAAGAATTGGACTTGCCATTTATTGTGATTCCTGGTTACTGGTTTGATGTCTGTCAGGATTCTAGAAGCACAAAAACTGTTCTAAAGGACAAATATGTTCTATAGTGACACCAGCGGACCACTTTAAGTTTACATTTTTTTCATTTCCTGCTTTCTTGCTCCTAGCATCAGTGTGTAATACTCCAGATAAGAGGTTTGGTTTTGGGTTCTCACAGACTGCTGCACAGTGGCATGTAGGAGTTAGGCACTTTGAAAACGTTGAAAAGACAAATAGCTATGGAAAATTTAATGGGGGGAAAGAATAACAGCAAAATCAGTAGCTCAGTATATGTGTAGGGGATAATGTGCCTGTGATAACCTCAGGCGTGATGTGATGTGCTGCTAAGTCTCCATCAGATAATGGTGCATAATGGAGCAGAACAACATGGATTCATCAGACTGTTAATGTTTTCAAATGTCCTGGTAATTGTACGATGTGAGTGACAGCAGACAAAGCAAATAATCAAACCCACAAGAGCGCTGATTCATCTATTAATCCACAGAGAGGCTCTCAAGGATGGTTTTGTATGTTCCCTATAATTGGCACAAAGTATATGTCTGTGCTTTTCATGCAGAGCTCTAGTTTGGTTGTCTATTTTATGATACAGTATATTAATTCAACTAACTGCAGTGCACAGACCTTTCTTTTGTAGTTTAGTCAATTAAGGTCACTAATTTTAGCCACGCAACGTGTAATCCAGTGGTTCCCAAACTTTTTTTGCCCTGTTTTGACCTCTTGTCTCAGCAGTCAAAACATGTGGACAAGGTAACTTGTGGACTTGTTATCTAACATTTTAACAAACCACAGTGGGTCCATATGGGGAGTGATATATGTGGGGGTGTCTCTCGGGCTGTGGACTCGAGACATCACCATGTGGAGAAAGTCCTGCAGCTGAGGGCTAGAGCTCCTCTGTCTCTCTCCAGCATGTGTATATGCATGTATGTTTTTTTTCTGTTGTCTGCAAGTGCCTTTAGTTTGGTTTATGCCTAATGTATAGATAGATAGAAATAGCAGAAACACATCCATCCATACCCCCAACATACTGTTAGTAACTTCCTTCAATTTACAGCCCGAAAAAAAAAGCAAGAAAAATTACGATTTCTAAAGCAAAAAAACAACAACTGTTTCAGAGCTACTTGGGACTTGCTTTCGTTAAAACAGCCTAGAGAAGTCACAAGAATGCATGTTACACCTGCGGCAGGATGATGTCACAGGAAGTCCATTGTGTGTGTGATAGTAAACAAAGCCCCACGTGAACTTCACCTGTCTGCGGCTCACGTTACTTTCACTGTAACCGGCTTCTTCTTGGCACTGTCATTTCCAGGCGCTTGAGCACATGGGGACGCAGACGGTGTAGTGTCAGGAGCATCCCTTTCTTATTGTTCTGCTGTTCGGCAGGTTTGCGTACTGGTTTTTTGGGTGGATCTGGGTCAGCCCACTGCACGGGAGGGATACTCATGCAAAGAGAAGCTGGCAAAGTATCAAATACTGAACAAAGTGTGGCAAACAATAGCATACAGTATACACACGTCATATGGTGATGCAGATTTGTGCATGGCTACACGAGCTAGCAACGCCACCTGACATGTTATTTTTTTTTAATTATAATTATTTTAAACTTGCAAAATACCAAAAAAAAACACATGCACACCCACACCCACACCCCACACATACACCTCTCTCTCTCTTCACTTGCTACTGTAGCTGCTCACTGTCCTTCCAAAAAGAGAGGTTAAATTGTAATAGTGGGGGCGACAGTGGCTCAGTTGGTAGAGCATTGGCCTTTGGGCCTGAAGGTTGTGGGTTTGAGCCCACCACGAGACCTACCTCACAACTCCCACTGATGAATGCTGTCGTTGTGTCCTTGGGCAAGACACTTAACCCCACTATACCTGAAGCCCCCACTGAAAGATCTCAGCTCCTGTGGACTCACCACCTGCAGGAGGATCAATGCGGGGCTGGTGCTGTGTGTACTGGGTGCAGCTTTGACGGCTACCCCCCGACCCAGAAATGGATTAAGGGGTAGAAAATGGATGGATGGAAATTGTATTAGTTGTCTAGTTTACATGGATTTTTTCATTAGGAATTTGAGATATAACTATCCTACTAAAATTAAGATAAGATGAGATAAGATAAAGCTTTATTCGTCTCACAGTGGAGAAATTTCAGTGTCATGGTTGCGCACATTACAGCAGAGAAAGAAGGAAATAAGAGCACTCAGATTGCACACATCAAATTGAGTCTATTATTATTAAGTTGTCCACTTTGTTGATTTTGCTCCAATTAAAACTGGGCTACCTAAATTTGAACTACAAACAATTTACCAGTGAACTCTTGCTGGATCCTGGCTCTCATAACAGTTTGGTTCTATCTCTAGTTCTCATTACTCTTGGGGTCTATGCTTTTTTGTTTTTGTCAAAGCAAAAGAGACTTACATTTAATATTTTCCAGACCCTTTATATCCTTTCCTCACATGTGTCAATTCTAGAGCTACATCTTGGTAACTTGAGTAATTCTATTTTGAAATGATGCCTCTCCACCCCCAACATTTCACACCACTTCACCATTTAGATTCACTGCGGAAACTGACATGAAACTGGGGGACTTTTTTATGTAAATTTTGGAATCATAGGGGAAACCAAGACCTCCTGCCTGCTTTCTTCTTCCTTCATACAGATTAACATTCTTGCCATGCGCCCAGTGTCTGGTCCTGTGGTGTGGAAGGGAGCCCTCATTGAACCAGGGCAGATCAGGTGGACAGTGCCCAGCTGCTGTGAGCCCTCTGCTGCTTATCTCGTCCCACCATATGGATTATTCATTTTCTATAAAGACCAAGAATTAGGACAGAGAAAATGCCACTTATGTTGCAGTTGTTAGCATTCAGATTGGGCTGTTTTTTGTTGCAATGATTGTTTGCGTTTATGTATGGCTTCAAGCTGTTGTGCAGAATCCCATTACTTCTGCTGTGCTAACGTGTAAAAAGATTGGGGGCGAGGGAGCCGGATGTCAAATTTACATTGGAAATCCCCACAGTTTTCAAAACTGGCAGGACAGAGGCTAACCATCAATTTGCTAACTCCTACCTATAGCGTGTTTCTTTCACCCCAAAAAGCACAATTATGTAAAGTGTTTTATTTTTATTTCAATAGCATTCAACTTTGTATATGTATTTATGTTTGTATGGATGATATGTTTCTGCTGCTGGACACCTGGATTTCTGCTATGGGGAACAGTTAAAATACCTATCTAGCTATCCTGGTTGTAGCCAATCAGCTGAGATATTACTCCATTTGTTTATATTGCAATCAGAATGGTTTTTTTACAGTGTTTTTTTCTTTCAAGTAACTACAGTGCCACTTTGTATGAGGGGAAAGTTCTAGGTTTATGATATCCATGTAACGTCATATTTCATCAATTGAAAATGTTCTAACACAGGGGTCTCCAACCTTTATCAATCGGGAGCTACTAAAAATAAAAGGGAGAGAGCTACTTCTTTTTGCAGTGGTAGCAAAACTCTTTCTAATTGCGACAAAACATGGAGAAGTAAAATATACCATAATACTTTACAATTATAATTTATTGTGTATTGTATGTATGCATTATTTAATGACTCAAAATGTATTCATTCAATATTATTTGTTCAATTCTAAATCCTTTGGCGAGCTACCTGAAAGGAGCTGGCGAGCTACTGGTAACTCCCGAGCCACAGGTTGGAGACCTCTGCTCTAACAGGACATCCCCTTACCTGACAAACTGATCCAACACTTTATCCTGAATGTCTTACCAGTTTTGTTGTAGTCCATTCCTGTTTGTGATAATATAGTTAATCACAATTATTATAGCCATGCATTTTTATGATACAAAACTGAATTATTGTGCCATACTGAATTATCCTCCCATACCATAACTTAACATAACCTCAGTCATCACTAACCTGACACTAGTTATCTCGGAGGACTTTACAAAACCGTAAAATTTGCCAACACAGATTCTCAAGATTAAAGATGCAAGAATTGATTTACCATTTGCAGTAAAACCACATTGGAATAACTGTGCAAGGCTACCCCAGTGTGCACCAGAAAGAAGAAAGCACACACCCGAGCTCTTGCCCAATCAGAGAATCAAATGGTTCAAACACAAGAAATGTAATGATAAAAAAACATAGAGCCATCCATGCGAGGCGGATGACCAATGTCCGAAAATGTTGAAAAAGTTCATTAATATCGTTAAATGTCGAGTGTCCTGGATCATCACCACTCTCCTTGGGCCCTCATTGGCGAAGGCAAAACTCATACATAACATTACAATTGCAACTAAACTGTCATCCCTAGAATCGCAACTCATTTTGCGTTGTCCTCTGCTCCTCTCTAACCGTGTGTGTTTGTTTGTTGTGTCCACAGTGAATGAGTACGTGTTCATGGTCCAGGCCAGAGGGATGCAGATCAGGGAGAACATGAAGAACATCGGAGCTCAGGTCCTGGAGCAGGTGGTGAGAGGTTCCTACAGTAACGGCACAGGTGAGCTCTCCATACACTGTACCACACTGTTCTTTTCATTCTACAGTCTGTACAAGGAATTTATCTTGGGTTCCTATAGCCTTCAAACCTCAAAAATTGAATTGTGTAATAAAATTCTGTTACTAGTTTTCAATTCAATTTCAATGTATTCTTGTGTTGCCCTCAATCACAGTTGTAGTTATCTCGGCGGACTTAACAAAACCGTTGAATTCGCCAACACAGATCAGAGAATCAAAAAGTTCAAACACGAAAAATATAGAACACATAGGTATTGGTCCATTGGGGGAGTTGACCAATGACCATGAATGTTAATACATATCTATAAATGTAGAATGTTGAGTGTCCTGGATCATCACCACAGTCATTTTTGTTAATAGTCTAACAGACGCTCCTGCATTGGCAACGAAAAACTCTGAAACCCATTGGGAGCAAAAACACTTTTGAATTTGCCAACACAGATCAGAGAATCAAAAAGTTCAAACAAAAGAAAAAACACATAGAAAAACACGTTGAAAATGAAAGTTTTCACACGCATGCATTTTTGGCATCTGTCACATTGTCAAATTAGCTTTGTCAGACAGAAACGTGATAAAGTTAGGCTCATTCTCTCAGCCCAAAGTGTCAAATCCCAACTCACGAGGCTCTATCTGTTATGACAAATAGCAAGGATTCAGAGGCAGCAGTCATCTGATAATTCTTTTTCTATTATTTCTGCGTACTTATTAGAGCCCAGTGGACACATTGGGCAGAAAGTTGATTGGTTGAGCAAAATAAGTAATCTTTTTTAACTTTTCTGTCTGTACCCTAAGGGTACCTCACGATACGATACGATACAAAGCTCACGATAACGATATTATCACGATAACGATATTATCACAATAACGATATCACGATAACAATTTTATCACGATATGACGATTATCGATATATTGGTCATAAATGTACAATATGCCAATTTATGGCATAAATAAAAGAAAAAATACACTTTATTTCATGATAAATGGAATGGAGATGCGTAATGTAGCCATATATTAAGTATTGATACCAAAAAAAAGACGAAAAAAAAAAAATGTTGTTTTGTTTTGTTAATATCTTCAAAATAAAAGACACTGTACTGAGAAAATGTGACTTTAGCCCCATTTTAACTCTGGCTCTCTTTTGGTGAATCATTCGTCATTGGGGAAATGTGAACGCTTTGAACAAGTGTGCTCTGGTCTAGTTTTCAGTCAGTCACTTCCTTTGAAACGGTTCTGTAACTTCATGAGAACTGTTGATCATAAAGTGTGAACGCGCCCTGAGGTTAAACCACTATGGCCACATCAAGACACAGTAGATTCAGTTTTTTTGAGCCTCGATTTAAAAAGACCAAAATCAGTAGAAAAGACAGCATGTTCCAGAGTTTGGATCCAGCGACTGAAAAGGATTACCCCTGGGAAAGCAGTGGCTGAAACTCAGTGTCCGATCACAGTCAAGGGTCAGCAGATTTAAGGGGCAGAAAAAAGGGCAATTCCTAATTTTTTATGTCAAACATGTTACTGTGCAAATAAGGCATTTTGTTTTTCTCTACCAGACAATAGTAAGTTAGCGATGTCTCGATTTGATTCAACTGTATTATTGGGTTTCATATGACGTCGGGGCAGTGGCGCAAATAACAAACGTAGGACAGGACGTGACGTACCCTGGCGGGGGCAGTCTGCCGGGTTTATACACGGAAATATAGTAGAAGAAGAAGCGCTGTCAAAATGCAATCTTTTTGTGCTGTGTGCGGCTGTAGCAACCGCACAAATAGAGAAAAAGACAAGAGTTTCTTCCGTGTTCCAACTTTGGTCTCACATAAAGGAGTTTGAAAAAATCAGTCGAATGAGGCGGGCGAGGTGGATCAAGGCTTTCCCAGATAAGCGCCCCCTGCAGGCCATCCAAATGAAAAGCAGCAATTTCTTCTGTTTTTCTTTCCAAAAATGCCTGAAATCGAGACTCGATTATGACTGCTACAACAACCGTACACCGCACAGGATGAGAGCCTTTTGACTCCCAAACAGACACGATTTACATGGTTTTCAATGGGAGCAAAACTGAGTTGTCCCACGTCTGCTCATTCGCCCTCTACTGGCCAGTTTAATGAAACCCAAGAATACTTCAAAAGACAGAAGTATGCCGAGACATGTTTGTGACCATCAAAACAGGACATTGTGTTAAATGTGGCGGTGCCTGCAGGACTGGCCTCTTAGCATTCTCTCGTCTGATGGTGGTTCCTCTCAGGACAGCAGTGTTCTGGTCAGGCCCAGAAAAGGACTGAACATAGGGAGGCAGCGTTTCAGATTCATTTGCCAAAATGTGGTATAATCTTCCTGAATATGTGAGACAGGCTTATTCTCTGACAGTATTCAAATCCAGGTTAAAAACAGTTCTGTTTAGCTGCGCATACAACTGAAGGATTATATCTTTTCTCTTTTTAATGTACTGTGATAATTTATTATTTGAATGCCCTGCGTGATTGTTTCTTTCTTGTTGAGTCGCCTCGTGTATGAACTGTGCTATACCAATAAACTCGCCTTTCCTTGCCTCCCGCAGACTACACCTATGACTTCAACGTGAGCGGCAGTGAAGCTCCGCCCACTACATACCTTCCAGAGGGCTTCACGTACCTCTCATCCCAGCTCTGCCCTGAGCGCATGCAGTCTATGAGTAAGCACAGATGGCTATACTGTAGCTTTTAAAATGTCTCTCGTGGCTAATGCCGTAATATGTGGCGAGCATTTAAAACCCCCTAACAAGATTGCTTCAAGTGATTTACTACGCTGCTCTTTCCAATGACACGTCTCTGAAATGGTTGAGATGCATTATTAGACTTACAATGCATGCGGAATGGGGTTATTACAACTAATGGATCTGTGATTTAAGTGCCAAGGCAATTAGTTGTGGCTCGCTTTGTCTTCTTAAGAAGCCTGGATGTAAAATGGTGTTTGTGTTTGCGCTCCCAGCGGGTCGGCTCGATGTTAACATGAGCGAGGTGTCTTTGGAGGAAGTGGAGAGGTCGCTGCTGGAGGTGCAGCCTGGGATGACCACCGGAGGATACTGGGCGCCACAAGACTGTTTACCGCGGTGGAAAGTAAGATGAATACTGTACAGACCTGATTACCCTGAATATGGCTTGTGTGTGTGTTTGCGTAAAATGTGCGGCACTAACATATACTTATCTCGAATTGATAATTTGAGTACATTCTGACTGTCTTAAAACAAGATTTGCCAATGGGACATAGCCATTTAGTCTCCGGTTTTTTTCTTCCCTAATTTCACGGGAGATACATTTTTAGTGTATTTTTACATTTTTTTGCAAATCTCTTTTAAGGCAGTCAAATTGTGCTCAAAGTAGATGCAGTGTATAGTCTATAATTCATTAATCTATCCATTTTCTTCCCCTTAATCCATTTCTCAAAGGCCAATTCTCCACCAACTGAGCCACTGTTGCCCACCAGTCTATAATTCATGATAAATTGTAGGCCAAATGTTTTTATTTTTTATTTTTACTATACCATGATACAAGAAATGATACAGCACAAAGGGAAATAGGTTTGACCTGATTATTAATTCGGCGTTGTTGAAGCCTGCCTCTACTTTCTAATGTATTCTCTGCTCCAGTTGTACGGTGGATGCATACCATCTGTCAGTGCGTCTTTATACGCAGTAGCCTCCAGCTCTGTCAATTATAACGTTTCTTCATCCCGAGCGTTTTGGCTGTCTAACCTTCTTTTTTATAATTGATTTACTCTTATATAGTCGTGCGCTCCTGTTGCTATATCCTGTGCTATTTTTACTCTCTACAATTTGTCTTTAACTCTGTGTGCATCTTTCTATTTGTTTGCTTTTTTAGGTGGCAATTCTAGTTCCTTTTAGAAATCGTCATGAACATTTACCCATCCTGCTGAGACATCTGGTGCCCGTGCTGCAAAAACAAAGACTCCAATTTGCCTTTTATGTAATAGAGCAGGTACGCACCCGCATTCCACACAAACATATACACACAACTACACACACATGCAAACACACAAACAACATCATGTCACAATCTGTCATAGTATATTATTTATGGCAGCACATGCAGTTTTCTATATCTGTATATTTATTTTCCTTTACATTAAACCATGTTTGCTCATCAGAAATATACCTGGAGTTGTTTTTAGCTGCATCCACGCTGATATCAGATACTTCAGGCATAAATTGGCACAACACAATACTACCAATACTACCAATCCAAATGTCCCTTTTTCAAAATCAGGTCAGACGAATTGTTCAATTTTTTTAAATTAGTACTTTCTTAAATGACATTGCACCACGATGGACCTGAGACTATGATACTCTATTTTTTGCCACTAGATGACTACAATAAATGGATTCTTAAAGGGATAGTACAGTATGTATTAAGCGCTGTGGTCAAAGTGGTTAAAGGTGACCTTGAGTGCCCAGAGTGGTGCCAAGCCATTCCAATTACAATCCATCTTATGTTGCTAGAATCTTCCTGCCTGTGACACATTTAGCATGTAGCCCTGATTACAGATCCAATCCACCTCCTGGAGTTTAGCTAGAAACGGTTTAATCACTGTGTATCACATTTGACTCCAGATTTTTGCATCTGCTTTTAGTGTAATCAAATGTGTGGTGCTATATTTGTTTGTTTGTTAAATGTGTTGTATTAAAAATAAAATAAACTCAATTTCATCTAACAAACTGGCAACCCAAATGAGATCTCTGATTGTCAATCTGCTTGGAATGTATCTCTTCTTTTCTTTCTAATTACGAATAACGAGTGCAAAGTAAAGAGTTAAAGTAAATGACGCAAAGTGTAATTTTACAGAATGAACCTATACACTGCAAAAAAAAATATTTAAAAATTGGTCAGATCTGGCAAAATTTGTCTTAATTTGAGCACATTTAAAACAAGATTTGCCAATGGGACAAGCTAAATTATATTGTTTTAAAAAGAGATGTCAAGAAATGTCTCCCTTGGAATGAGAAAAAAAAGCAACAGTAGAAGACTAAAATGCTTTGTCCCATTGGCAAATTTTGTTATTGTCAGAATTTACCGAAATTAAGATAAACAAAACATTCAATTCAATCATTTATTACCTCATCTTTGTGCAGGATAAATGGGTTCGCTCCAATGTTACGGGGAGATAATCACTTTCGCACACACACAAACCCTCGATATATATACCCCTAAGGACGCCTTCACACTTGGATGTAATTTGTCCAGAGGGCTGGGTTTTCGGGGGACTCTTAATGTGCTCTTGGCCAGATAGTTTCACACCGTTTTATTACAATTATCACAGTTTTAGTAGCACTGCGGTTTGGGGACTAGGGCTTTTCAAAATGTGCAACTCGGTCCATTCATTTAAATCCTTATCGTCTAAACCGAGAGTAAACACTGCAAAGAATCCTCACAAGGTCATATATCTGTGTGGAAACCAAAAAAACATTAGGATTGTAGTGTGATGATAAAATACACAATGTAATAATAAGTGTTAAATCAAAATGTCAACTTCAAGAGAGACAAAGGTTCACTTTCTATGCCTGACCTGGCTTTCCCTAAATTTTTCTCACATAATTTCGCTATGTATTTCACTTATTAAATTAAGAGATCCATTGTTCATCCCACTGTGTTGCATCACAAGATACATTTACAAAAACTAGTATAAAAGTAGTATAAAAGTATCAAATCTCTTGTTTTAACATAAATGTAGAAGTCTTCTATCTCTGTCTGGTGTCTGTTTCACACATAATGTATTTAAAACACCAGTGCCAAAACGGTTTAAAAAAAAAGCGGATATGAAGCAATATACTCTGTAACCAGCTAAATTTGAAAAGAAAGTCAGTTTTTTTTCTGCAAAGCAATATAGACCCCACTTGAATACATAATGTCCATATCCACTGAAATTGGTAAAATTAACTCAAAGAGGAGAATCCAAGGTGAAAATGAGTGTTCATGCAAAGTTATAAATATATAAAACAAAATGGATAGTAGTATGATCTCCTGCTCCATTGAAAAACCTTAAAACTATGTATATTTTTTACATACTAAAACCTGGACAAAGTGCGGCTTTCTTTGCAGACCCTTCCCAGCTGGTAACCTCATACTGGTCTGTTGCTTACATAAATTATTCAGGAGTCAATATCCATTAAGGCAAGGCAAGGCAAGCTTATTTGTATAGCACAGTTCAAACACAAGGCAACTCAAAGAGACAAAACAAGATTGAAGCATTACAAAGCATTAAAATAATCACGGCACATTTAATAGACACTTGTAACTCAGTATTTGCTAGCATGACATGTTAATCATTCATTCTGTTCTATTGAATGAACCCCAAATGTTTTAGTAATCATTTGAAGTAGCTTTTTGTTACATTAAAACACAGTACCAGCCCTCCAAAATTAGTCGATATCCCAATGTGCCCTCCAGAGAGAAATAATTGCCCACCCCTGTACTAAAATGAAATTCAAGTATCTTTTTCCTTTGTTTCCAGGGGGGAACAGAGCCATTCAACAGGGCCATGCTTTTCAATGTGGGCTATAAAGAGGCCATGAAGGATGCGGACTGGGACTGCCTGCTCTTCCACGACGTAGACCACCTGATGGAGAACGACAGAAACTACTACGGCTGCACCGACATGCCGCGCCACTTTGCCGTTCAGCTGGACAAGTACTCCTACATGTGAGTGCTTCCTCCTGCCCACACTGCCGTTTATAGTAGTGAAGCGGTGTCTTCTACCTGCGGTTGTAATGGCGATGGGGACGGGAGGATAATAATTCAACCTAGAGAGACTTGAATAGACAAAAGAGGGGTTTTATTAGAATTGTATATTTGTTGGTAATGAACTGACACTACACACTACATGTATTAGCGCATACAACTCCAAAGAAAGTGTTTGCAAGATTACATTTATTGCATCCTGTGCGCGATTGGTTGATAATTGCAGAGAGGGAAATAAAGATAGAGATTATGAGATGAAATCCCCTGTGGGCGGCACGGTGGCTGAGTGGATAGCACTCTCGCCTCTCGGCAAGAAGGTCCTGGGTTCGAATCCCGGTTGGACCAGGGCCTTTCTGAGTGGAGTTTGCATGTTCTCCCCGTGTCTGCGTAGGTTTCCTCCGGGTCCTCCGGTTTCCCCTACCACTAAAAATATGTACAATAGGTCTGGCATGTGCCTCCTGTACTGGCACCCCCACTCCCAAAAATAACAATTGTAAACCGCTTTGAGACTCCGATGTGCAGTGAAAAGGCGGTATATAAATAAAGATTACTAAAATAAAGATTACTTACCTATAACCCTGGTGGTGGTAGAGGTGGTGGAGAAGGGTGAAAGAGTTGGTTCCTGACAAGGAAGAGATGGGGAGGAGGAGGGTTGCTGCATGAATGAAGCTTCCTCACGATATGAAGCCTGATGGCCACAAGGTGAGGATTGGTAGTGTAGCGCTGCAGCTGAGTGTGATTGACTGACTTCTCTTGACATGAAGCAACAGTGGGAAGACTTGGAGCGCAGTGAGCTTCATCCTGTCTCTTTAAGTCTGAATTTCTGCCTTAGCTCCTCGACGACAAGGCGAGATAGTAGCATTTTCTATGTTGAATATAAAGGAGTGGCATATAGAGCTTACATCTCCTATAGTGTTGGCTTTTACCAGAAAAAGCCGGTTTAAAGCTCCAGAGGGGGGAGCCAATTCTCATGGCAACCACAGAGGTGATCAGGAGCAAGGCCAGGCCCTCCCTTCACTGGACAAAGTTGAATTTATTTATGTAGTTATTTATGTGACAATGTCCTCATATTACGTACATCATAAATGCTGTCTTTACACTTATGCAGCTTGAACAAACAGGAACAGAAGGAGGACAAACATCTTGCATATCCTGGCCCTTGTTTGTTTCTGATTTCAGAGACATTTTAACAATTGATCTTGTGGATACAAGGCACCCGATTGGTCAGTTATTATTGGTCTTATCTCGAATGGAAAACACAAAATCAAAAAAGAAAACATCGGAAGGATACAGAGGGCTAAAACTCGAACATACTTTACGTCTAGAATGTTGAGTGTGACATGAATGGTCACGAAGTGTTTACTTTTCAAAAAAGGAAGCCAAAGGGAGTATTGCAGCAAAATGTCAGAGTACTCCCTTTTTTGGCTTCAGCAAGACTGCGCTGTCCACTCCTGTTACACAGCCCAAGGAGGTGAATCAATAATAATCATTGGTTTTATATTTTTTGACACACAAAGATGCTTCACATTTCATTATTCATTCTCTCCACACACAGTGATGATAAATTACAACTGTAGCCACAGCTGCCCTGGGGCACACTGACAGAAACGAAGCAACCAGTATGTGCCATCGGCCCCTTTGACCACCATCAACCATTCACACACACACCAGACTCATTCCAGGCAATGTGGGTGAAACAAAAGAGGTCTCCCACCACAGTACTAACCAGGCCCTACCTCGCTTAGTTCCTTAGTTCTGCCAGGATCTGGCTTTCACATGAAGAGGGTGCAACAAATTGTACTAGTTATAAGGCTCTATTGTTTATCTTCAGAAAATGATTGAAAGCAACAGTTAGCACAATATATATTAGAAAAAACAAAATAAAAGTTAAGCTTTAAACAAACTTGCAATACCTTAGATTCCTTGACATTAACCCGCCTTGACCAACATTACTTTGACCCCTCTGGTTTAATCTACTGAATATATTTGTCTATTTTTCTCTTTTTGCCTAAACCAACTGTAAACAAACTAGAAATGAATCTTCTGAGATCATAGTCTGCATGTTGTAATGTAATTCTGTGGGCTGTCGTGGCACCAGATCTGTCCCCATCCCTGGTAATGTTTGACTGTGCCTCCTAGGCTTCCGTATAATGAGTTCTTCGGCGGTGTCAGTGGCCTCACGGTTAAACAGTTCAAAAAGATTAATGGATTTCCGAACGCGTTCTGGGGCTGGGGAGGAGAGGACGACGACCTCTGGAACAGGTAAGGATGGACCCAAGTCAGCGACCCAAACATGTGACTCTGCTCGTGCCAGTGACTTTAGTGACGCTGCAATATACACACACAACAATAAAAACACAACTGAATCACGGAAAGGGGTCAATTATTTACTTAAATGAATATCCAGGAAATATATGTTGTTATTGTGACAGTGTTGTTGATAACAATAGAGACGAGTTCAGCAAATTTGACTCGTTAATCATAAGCCAATGTATTTCTTCTAAATGTTTGTTTTTTTGGGCTATTCTCTTATTCTCTTATCCCCTTATTCATCACTTCTTTTTCTGCCAAAGCTATAGATTTTATTGTGTTTTAGTAATGACATTGACACAGTAGAAGCAGGAGAATCCAAGAAAATGACTTGATAAAAAAGGTTTAAAAAATGGCAGCTCAAATCTAGATATGATAGAACTTTTTGAAAACAAGGAACTAGTTCGATTTTATTGCATAGTTACACAGGTGGACTATGACCCAGTTTAAAGAAATACTACATGCTTGCCAGCTCTGCTAACAAGTTATTTTAATACAGCATTTATTTGTATTGCACAGGTCATACACAGTGCTAAACAAAACAAGAAAAGAAATATATTATTTTTTATTTTATTTTTCTTGTACCAATAGTTGCACCTCCACCCCTAGTTGAAAAACACTGCATTACCCAATGTAGCCCACACCGGTCTTTGTGAAGCACTGGGTTTGGCTCATATTGTACTTGTCAGTAAGGTGTATTTGTCTTTGGCACACAACACTGCTGTCCAGCTGCACAGGCACAAAGCCTCAGTAAGCTGTCTTATATACTCATAAATATATATATATGTCATGTTTGCATTTCTCCATAATGATTATCTTGTTACTATTGAATCTCGCAGTGTTTGCCTAATAGATTAAATCATGGTGAGTATGTATGCGTATATTTGTAGACCTTTACATTTGGAGCGACGACCGTTCAAAAGCCTGCTGTGTGTGTTATGTGTGTGTATTTGCGCAGATTGACGAGGTTTTAACTGTGTTTGTCCAGGGTCCATTACGCCAATTACACCGTGAGCCGACCACGAGGAGACCAAGGCCGCTACAAGTCCATCCCACACCACCACCGCGGGGAGGTCCAGTTCTTGGGGAGGTGGGTCTGATTATGGCAGCTTTGAGGCTCATGTGATATAAGCCGGTCACATGAAAGACCCAAAAGGAGTGACTTTACTGCAGGGTTTGGAAGGGGCTAAAGACTTTGCATGTGATCTGCCTCAGGGCTAAATTCCGATCATGCTTTTGCACTTTTGTTCAAATTGGTGCTTGGTTTATACAGGCAAAAGTGTCTGATATGGCCAAGAGTAAGAGAGGATAAGAAGTGAATCTGTAAAAACAATTTAAGAAGTGAACTAAAAAGTGTAACACAGCCCGAGTAAATGAGATCAGTTAGAGTTAGATGCTAAAGCGATTCCCCAGAGTGAGAGCTCTGTCCATGACAACAACCCCTTGTTACTTGCTCTGTGGTGTTTTTGATCATTAAGAGCATGAATATCTTATGATCTTCATAGTAGAACTTCCACAATACATTTAGGAACAGTTCTGCTCAATGTCAAGCATAATAATAGTAAAACAAAAGTAAAGTAAAGAAGTTGCTTTCTTTAAAGAGTAACTAAGTAGAGTAACGAGAAAATATACTTTTTAAAAGTAACTTCCCCAACACTGTCTATTATTCTGTAACACAGTAATGTTTCACTCTCTAAGTTAGGGTTAGGGTCATATATTAGAGCTGCCTTTGACCTGTGTGACTCAGGTCAACGTTTTGTGTGATTTTCCACAAACTTCTTACAATAGTTGGATGGAATAGGGTCCATTCTTCTTGACAAAACTCAGATTGTAGATATTTGATGGTTATCTCTGTCACGCACAGTTTGAGTTCTGCCCACATGGGTTCTATAAACGGTGGAAGATTAAGGAATTTAAGATAAGATAAGATAAGAATTCCTTTATTCGTCCCACAGTGGGGAAATTTCGATGTTGCATCGCACATATAGGACAGTAGTAAGAGCACACAGGGATCACACACAATATATACACTATATACAAATAAGTAGTAGCTATGTTTCTTAACTAACATAACTAGCTGTAGATGCTGAAAATGCTTCAATACCAGTCAAAAAAAAATATATGTAGTAGTGCAGTTTAGATTTCAATTTATCTCCTCCATATTTTGAACATTATAGGTCCCATGCATACAACTACATATTTAACTTTCAATCAATCAATCAAAGTTTATTTGTAGAGCGCCTTTCATACACAGGGCAACACAAAGCGCTTCACAGTCCACATCACAAATCATCACATAAAACAAACACCAGAATCACAATTAAAACATTAAAATCACACAAAAGATTAAAACACAATTAAAACATTAAAATCACACAAAAGATTAAAACACAATTAAAACATTAAAATCACACAAAAGAATAAAACCATTAAAACTTTCAAAATTACACAAGAAAAAATAAATAAATAAATAAATAAATAAAAAAAAAAAAATGACAACAGTGCATTAGAAATCCTTCAGTTGTATGCACAGGCAAACAGAACAGTCTTTAACCTGGATTTGAACATTGACAGAGTAGACGCCTCCCTCACATTTTCAGGGAGATTGTTCCAGATCTTAGCTGCATGGATCTGAAACGCAGCCTCCCCATGTTTGGTTCTCACTCTGGGCACCAGCAGGAGGCCAGTCCCTGTGCTCCTCAGAGTCCGGGCTGGTTCATATGACACCAACATGTCACTAATGTATTTTGGTGCAAGGCCATGGAGAGACTTGTACACAAGCAGAGCTGTTTTATCTATCTATTTATGTTAAATCTATTCTCTGAGCCACAGGAAGCCAGGGGAGCGCAGCTTGGAGATTGATGAGCACGCGTTTTTGACGTCTCTGCTCTGTTTACCCTTTTAAGCCTTTTAAAGCCTTTTAAAGCCTTTTAAACACGTTTTTACGGTGTATTAGTGTCTTTTGTACACTCTAGTGTTTTTACCTTAAATGCAATGGTTCCAGAGCATCACGTCTTTTAACACAAAGACCCAATCGAAACGCGCTAGCTCGGAGGCTACCACGAGCGCACCACAGACATGGAAAGTGACACTGCAATGACCACGAACGACATTAGTCGCCTCACATTGGAGCTTCGTGAGAGGGACCGTGCCACTATTGCAGACCTCCGTAAAGAAGTCCTTCGCCTCACTGCAGAGCTGCAGGATAAACAGTCACTCGTGTCCAAACTTTTTGATGTCGCTGGCGGGCAGCACTCACGGCTTATGTCACTGAGCGCTGCATACTGTGACACTGTCGTGTGGGAGAGGTCTGTCAGCTCTGGACCCTCCTGTTCTACACCTAAGCGCCCGGTTCCGAATGAGGAACCCGCGAACTGCGAGGAGCCATCCAGCGCCGTGGCCCATGTCCTAAGCCTGTCAAACCGCTATGCAGCACTCTCCACTGACATCCCAGCCCCCTCAGCAGAACCCCTGGACTCTGCAGCGTACTCTGCCGTTCGTGGATCCAGGTCCACTGCGAGAAAAACGCTCCTAAAGGAAGCCGTCCTCAGACGAAAGAGTGGTCATTCCCCTTCTCTGACCCCAGTGCATCACCACCACTTACCTTCACCGGGTCAGCAGCACCGACCCGAGCCTGCTCCTCTCGCCGCTCCAGCGTCTCCGTGCACACAGCGTGGGTTGCCCGGAGCTGAGAATCAACACCCCCGCTCCCCTCCATGTGTTCAGCAGCGCCCTGGTTCGGACTCATCCCTGGATGAGCCCGCTGGTTCCGGCCATGGACACCGAGCGCCTTCTCCGCGGCTACGTCCACTCTTCGCCCCGACTACTTTGATTGTTGGAGATTCCATCGTGAGACACGTCCGCTTTTTTAACGCGGTCACTCAGTGTTTTCCCGGAGCCACTGTTCCAGACCTGCTCATCCGTCTCCCTCCTCTGCTTCACTCCCTGCCCGATACCATATCCAAGGTAATCGTGCATGTGGGGATCAACGACATGAAGCTGCAGCAGTCCGAGGTCACAAAGAAGCATTTTATGGATCTATTCCGTCTTCTCCAGTCCTCTGGGTTGTGTGTTTTTATCTCTGGTCCAGTCCCGACTGTAAACCGGGGAGACTGCTTGTACAGTCGCGTTGTGGCGCTGAATATGTGGCTCCAGTCTACATGCAGCACTTTTAACTTTGTTTTTGTGAACAACTTTGGCCTGTTCTGGAAGCGTCACGTGGCCTATCGTCCAGACGGTCTGCACCCGAACAGATACGGCACCAGTTTGTTGATGGACTTTTTACGCCATGTTGTTCAGTGCTCCCCGAGGGGGGCGTGACTGTTTACATCCGAGGCCTCTCGGCCCCCACTACCACCTTCCTCCTCCACTCCAGCACCGGGTGAGTACTGTGGTGCAAACACTGACCCCTGTCCGTCTGGCAGTGTAATACCAGTCCTGCCACTGAACGGCACTTACTCAGTCATGCATCTGGAACTTAACAAAGTAAAACAGAGTTCACTTTTTAAACCAATAGAGACAGTGTGTGTTCCTCGCACCGGCTCAGAAATGTGTTTTAATTTGAATAAACACAAATATAACAGAAGGACAGCAGTTAGACGGTCCAACTCAGGAAATCTAATTCCAATTCTTTGTAGTCAATCAACTAAACCCACTGACACTGACATTATTTTTAACCTTGCTCTGCTTAATGTCAGATCACTATGCAATAAATCCTTTTTAATTAATAATTTTATCTGTTCTTATGATCTTGACTTTATGTTTATGACTGAAACTTGGCTTGACCATAATACAGAAAATGCAGTTTTAATAGAAACAACACCACCAAATTTCAAATTTGAATCAGAAATTCGAGAAAATAAAAGAGGAGGAGGCACAGCAGCAGTTTTTAAAGATTGTATTGTCTCCCATAGAGTACCTCTTGGGAAATTTTCCTCATTTGAGTATGTCTCTTTTAAAATAGAACAAAAACAATCTTCTATTCTTATTATTGTTGTGTACAAGCCGCCACAGTCATGTCATAGTTTCACTGATCATTTCACCGAGTTGCTTTCAGTTGTGTGCACAGACTTTGATAGTTTAGTCGTCATAGGTGATTTTAATATACATGTAGATAACGTTAATGATAGATACGCGAAAGAGCTGAGCTCTGTGCTGGAAACCTTTGGTCTCACTCAGCATGTGAGTGGCCCCACCCATAGCAGAGGACACACTCTCGATCTGCTAATTACTAAAGGGGTTAATATCTCAAATGTAAATGTGGCCAATGTTGCTCTGTCAGATCATTTCTGTGTATTTTTTGATATGTGTCTCAATAGTAAAGCACGAGCTGAATCCTCAATTGTTAGAAGAAGAAGACACATAAACAAAAATACAGGTGAACTTTTCATGGGGATGATAAACTTTGATAACACGTTGTGTTCTACTGTGGATGAATTACTTAACTCTGTCACCTCTAGTGTTTTGGATGTTCTGGACACGATTGCTCCTGTAAAGGTCAAAATTGTTACAAATAAGCAAAAGGCGCCATGGACAAAAGCAGACTCTGTCAGGGCACAGAAGAGAGAGTGCCGGAGAGCCGAGCGGAAGTGGCGAAAGTCAAATCTCCAAGTTGACCATGAGATCTTCAAAGATGCATTGTGCAAGTTCAACAGTGTGCTACGTAGAACGAGGGAAACTTATTTTTCCGAAACAATCGAAGGTTGTAGTGGCAATCTACGCGTTCTGTTCTCAACGGTAAATAAATTGACAAATCCCCCTGTTAAGATGCCATCAGAGCTTACCTCCAAAACCAAATGTAATGAGTTTGCAGAGTTTTTTAATGACAAAGTCCAAGGCATCAAAAATGCCATCACCTCCACAGTAGAAATTACAATCCAACAGCCAGTGAAGCTTTTTGGGCTGACACACTTTACACCAGTACAAAATGAAACTGTCCAAATGATAATTACAAGTCTGAGTTCTTCTACATGTAGCCTGGATGTATTACCTCCTAGATTTCTTAAATCTGTTCTGAGCAGTCTTTTACCTTCACTCACGCATATAGTAAATATGTCTCTTGAATCTGGAACATTCCCAATGGCCCTGAAA